TATCTAACTCCAATTTAGCAATTTGCTTCTGAAATTCTTTATAACATCTTCTGAGTTTATAAGAAAGATATTGGAGCCTTTCTTCATTCTTATAGACAGATTCAGCAATCTGGTCCATCTTTTTCAAGAGTTTGTTCTAAGCCAAAGAATTCTCAGTTTACCAATTGAGAACTTCTTCAGCTTGGGATGGAGCTTTAAGAACTCCATCTGGTTGTACTTCTGTGGGTATGACTAATGGTCTAGTATTAACCTTAGTGACTGGATCTACTTTCCTTTCCAATGAAGGAAATTCTTCATCATACTTTGTAAACGTCATACAGGGAACAGGAGTTGCAATTTTTTCTAAATGGGTGCTGAAAGACTTGCACAATCCTGGAGGAGGAGGTCATGTGATCAGATCTGGATCACAAGGGGGTTTGCACAACAGGCCTTCTTTTCTTAAAATCTCCAGGGCCTCATCATAGATAGGCAAAGGTTTTCTTTCATTCCTGATTCCTATCCATGGAGTAAATCCATGGTCTTTTCTTCTGGGCTTAGGAGGTGGCTTGCAAGGTTTCTTTTTCTTCCTTCTCAGATTGTTTTTATCATCATCATCTGATTCTTCATCAGATGTATCACCAGTATGTATCCAGCAATCACAATCAGGATCACACATGGAGGGATCAACATCCCACATGAAGTGACCATCAAATTTGTCTGAATAGATGGAAGATCAATCAGGTTTAAAACTGTATACTGGGATTCTGTGTTCTTTTCCAACAGGAATCACCATAAGTGACTGGAAGCAGTTAGAAGAAGGGCTTGATTCATCTTCAGGTTTTTTGAATATAGTTCGGACACCACCATCAACAGATCTTCTGAAGGTAGCTTCAAAAGATTGGATTTGTTTGTTATTTTGCTTGATCTTCTCATAGTTAGTTGTCCATTCAAGCGGAATCAACTTGAGAAGTTTTTCCCTGGGAATTTGCCTGGGAACTTGGATGATAGATGGAACATCATCTTCATTTCTGTTGGCTATGACAAACAGATTATCATTCACCATTTCTGGAAGAGGAAGGTCATAGGCATGATTTTGTAATCTATAAATCATTTGATGATGAAGTGTTGCGGTTATGTCTTCTTCAATTTGTTCAGCTCCAGTGAGCTAGATCTGAACCTTCAATCTGGTTGGCAGAGTTTTATCTCTCAATAAGACATTGTAGTTTGGAAAAATAGTGAGGACCACACTTCCAGCATGAAGAGTAGTTAGCAGTGTTGCTATAACAGCATGTTCATAATGGATGTAAGTGGAATCAAGAAGAGTGATTCTGGCAATAACTGGAAGATTTTTCCTACCATGCAAAGATAGGACTAATCTAATTGCTCCAAAGTGTAGGACAGTATATCCCTCAGTTTTCCAGTGGTCTATGAAAGTTTTAAGGATTTCAAGGTTGATGTATCTCTCATCTTTTGTAGCAGGTATCTCACACTGGTCCATCCTGGTGGATTGGACATATTCTTTTATAGGAGATTGTTTCCTGAGAATCAACAAGTTGACTTTGTTGGTCCAGAATTTTTTCCTTCTAAAAACATTGTATGGGCTTAACAGAGGAGCTATGGATTCCTGAATCTGAGCATCTTCAGGAACATATGTGTACTCTATCAGGTTTTCTATTTTATCAGAAGCAGTTCTGATATAGTCTTTTGGTAATGAGATAGGGGAGTTTAGGAGAATAGGAGAAATTTCAGTGGAAGAAGTGTTTGTGGTTGTATTCATGATTTTGTGGAAACTCTTACTCACTTTATTTATAATGACTATCACACTTATCTCCTCCTTCAACAGAGACTTTAGGCTCTGAATAAATGCAGGAGTTCGTGACATTGTTACAGACAGAGGCGACTGTAGATACAGTCTCTCAGGTAGGTGTAGGTGTCTGTCAGTTGTCCAGCCGATAAACCCTGAGGATATGAGCTTCAAATAATTTGAAGGCTGTGATACCATTAGCTAATCCCCATGCATGATTATTCATGGAGATCTTCATTCAAATAATCCTCATATGTTACGGAACAATGTTTGTAAGATGAATCTTTAAACCACAAAGTTACAGCGTGGATTCTACTCTAAAATTTTGTCAATCAATTCATTCGTAGCAACTTTATAGAAGCAAATATAGGCAAACAAGCTTATGATGTGATAGTAATAGCGTAAGCAACAACTGACTTGTAATTTCCTATATACATTGCTCAAAGAATACAAAAATCATATGCCTATCTACACAAGATCTTCCATTAACTTTCAATGGAAGTGAATATGCCGAATGTTTCACGTGAAGCTCATCACGGAACTTACATCAGAAATACAGTAAAGAAATCATGATTTCACTGGCCACCAAAAAGTAGATAATTGCCTCCAATATACTATTTGATTTGATGTCTTGAAAACTTGAAGTCTCACGACATTCTGTTTGCTTCATTAAGTGAAGTTTCTCCTGTGAAGAGCAAAAGACAGGTAATGTTGTTATACTATCTATGACTTTTGGTAGAGGCAAAGCATCCTTGGTTTTCAATGTAGCATATAAAAGAGAGATAAAGAGACCTCATCTTGTGTGTTACTTTCAGAGGGGAACCAATGCATGAGACCACGACATTCATGACAGTTATCAACTGAAACAAAAGTGGGGTTGAAACCCATAGCAAATTCTCTAATTTGAGCAAGTGAGATACCAACCTAAGTTGTCACATGAAAACAGACATTCAGTGTTTATAGGGAAGTCTGTATAGTTAACCCTTATATCATCCGATAAGTTGAGTGTGTTATCTTACTTACAATAAATGATGTCCGAAGGCTATAACCAAAGCCTTCGTAACTATAACAGCAACAGCAGTTTTAACAACTACAACCAGAATAACAGAAGCCAGCAAGATATCCACCTGGTTCCACCTAAAATTAATAAACATACTGTTAGGAGTAACTCTTCCTTGAATCCTGTGATAACTGAAGCATAGTTAATAATTCACAAGCAGTTAATTATTCTAAACACATCATTTGTACATCTCTCATAGGAAAAAGAAAATAAATAGAAAGCAGAGAGAGGAAGTAAATTGATGCACCCCATTGCCAGTATATCTTACTATGCTGTTGCAAAAGCAAATCTTATAATGAGAATAATCTATTCTTTAAAGGTGCACACATTTGATGTTTCCCTTAGCTATTAAGTTCATGTTGGCATCTTGTGAAAAGAGTCAGTGCACCCTGTTCTTGAAAGCTTCCAACTAAACCCATCAAACAAAATACAAGAATCACAAGAACTGTTGAAGATGGAAAGAGACAATCTTGAGAAAGAGAAAAGTGTCTTAATGGGAACAACATCAAATCAAGATAACCAAGATGGAGCTCTTGAAATTACAGTAAGTGGTGAAAAATACCGTTGCCTCAGATTTGCCAAAGGCTAAAAAATAAAGGTTTTGCTGGGCTGACAAAAAGGAAAAAGTACAGTCTTCAATTCTCTCCTTCCCCAAGGCCAAAAGGAAAGTGCTGCTGAGGACTCATGCTATTCCAAGCTCAATTTATGTCCTCTAGTAACAACTACTGAAATTTTACTGTGTAGTCGTGGTTTATCATTCTTGTCAGATTTAAGTAGCATTACTTGCTCAATTAAATTTTTTATATAATTTTTTTCTGTAATAATGTTGATGCTTTGGGCAGCTAAAATCATTTTTTCTGGTAAATTATTTGACATTCGCTAAATGTAGTTACCATTTTTACTGTTATGATGAACAATCTTGTAACTTTTTAAGGAAAACAAACAAAGAAAGTGCAGATTTAATTAGATGCATGGAAGTTTACGAATTTTGTAAAATCAAATCAAATTATGGATCGAAACAAACTGAACCATGATTCACACCATTTCGTGTGTTAGTTTGGGCAATGCACTATAATCGTTCAACGCAACATATCTGCAGCCGCTGTCTGTATTCATAAGTTTAACTAAATAATTGAAAAAGAGAAAAAAATAGAACGGCCAGAATCAAGCCTAAACCAAGGTCTGTTAGAAGGCCATATTTACAAGGTTTTTTTTTTTTGGCATAATCATTATCTTCTTTTGTTTGCACAACTATATTTAAAACCTGAAATATTGATCCCAATTTATTAACAAAATTCAACAAAATCGTGATTGAAAACTGCTCTTAAAGTGGTGCATGTATATACTCAACTTGTTTTTAGCAAATTAACAAATTAGTGTCTGATTATTTAGCAAGAATTAATAATTTATTTTCTTCTCTCTTCCCGTACATGCATATATATATATATATATATATATATATATATATATATTGCCAACTTTTCACATTTATATTAGTAACTTTTTATAAAATACAAGATTGTTCGATTCAACCATTAGTTTGAGAGTTTCTATCAAATAGATTAATTTTATAAATAAATTAATAAATACTCAATTATATCATTTTATTTTATTAGATATCGCATTTTAAAAATATAAGTAAATATCAAATTTTTAATGGTTGGATTACAATCTTACATGTTATGAAAAGTTATAAGGGTCTATGATTCAGACTTATGTGTGTATATATGAACTTATTTTTAATTTATTTTTATCCTTTTACATTTTAGTTTTAAAATATTGTTACTATTTACTTTCCATATTGAATATTATTTTGAGAGTTATTTTTTATACAAAAAATGTTCTCATTCAAATATTTTGTTAAGATTGAATCTTAATAGAACTTAATTTTTTACTTCTTTAAAAATATTAAACAAAATATTATCATTTTTTTAACTAAAAAATATTTAAACCTAAATAAATTTATGTGTCAGATAATACTTTAATAACTAACTGTTGTATTCAGTTCTGTTCTCAAAATGATATTGATCATCAACTGTAAATCAGTCCTTTTCCCAGTTAATTTGGAACTTCAATACAATTAGCTAATCACCATGCATGATTATTCATCGAGATCTTAATTCAAATGATCCTTATATGTTACGAAACAATGTTGATAAGATGAATCTTTAAACAAAAAAGTTACACCGTGAATTCTATCTACTCTAAAATTTTGTGAATCATTACATCTAGAGCAACTTCATAGCAACAAATATAGGCAAACCAGCGTATGATGTGATAGGATCAGCGTAAGCAACAATACTGGCTTGTAATTTCCTATATACATTGCTCAAAGAATACAAAAATCATATGCCTATATACACAAGATCTTCCATTAACTTTCAATGGAAGTGAATATGCTGAATGCTTCATGTGAAGCTCATCATGCAACTTGCATCAGAAACACAGTAAAGAAATCATGAATTCACTAGCCACCAAAAAGTAGATAATTGCCTCCAATATACTATTTGATTTGATGTCATGAAAACTTGAGGACTCACAACATTCTGTTTGCTTCATTAAGTGAAGCTTTCCCCTGTAAAGAGCAAAAGACAGGTAATGTTATACTATTATGATTTTTGGCAGAGGCAAAGCATCCTTGGTTTTCCAATGTAGCTGTAGAAATGGCAAAGCTATTGAGTGGTCCAAGACTACTATGTGTCCATGATCTCAACCAGTCTGACCACGTGTCACATGATAATTGGCCAGGACTATGGATGCATAGTAGTACTAAACTACCCAATAATATTCGTTGTTTATAAGATGATTCCTGAAATAGGATGCATCTACTTAAGAGCCAAGAGACAAAAATCTAGCTGGACCATGCCAGCAGTTAGGGTGAGGAATGTCTGTCTTGAAAGTAATAGCACAAGTGGCCTTCACAAAATATATAAATATTTCTCACTATTATTTATATACAAAGAAGCAATGGCACAAAAAGTGAATGGCGAAGGATACTTTTAGCGTTTTAAGCTGGTGATGTGATTTTTTATAGACAAAATGTCACATTAAACATTTAATGTTGACCCCAAAAAGTCTTCATTTGATTTTCAATCATAACCCCTAAAAATAAAAGTGCAGCCTACGTTGAATGGCAAAGTGTGATTTGATGTGAATACAAAAATTGAACCACATTTCTGACACACTCAAAATAAGGTTTCAAAAGAACGCTAGTTATTTATGAGTGCATGCGGTTATATGATCATTTTGAGAATATAAAAGAGAGATAAAGAGACCTCATTTTGTGTGTTACTTTCAGAGGGGAACCAATGCATGAGAACACCCAGATTCATGACAGCAGGTATCAACTTAAACAACTGTGGGGTTGTAACCTGTAAATAATCTATGGTAAGGTTAAATAATTCAAAGGAAGGAACGAAAGGGGCAACTAGTTGTAAATGAGATTACCCGACCGAGAGCTGTTGTCCCTAGAAGAAGAAGATACATTTTCCCCTAAAATATTGTAATCAGTGGTCAGCAAGTGAGAGTAAGAGAGAATAGGAAATAAATAAATAAGTTACAAAAAATCACCAAGAAAACGTATCAACAAGAATATGTAAATGCTTTCTTCAATGACATTGAATATTGTGTGTTTATGATCATAGAAGAATAGAAAAGGAAGGGACTTTTAAGAGCCACCAGATCACCTATACTTAAGCTTGTGAGTAACTTTCACTTGTATTTTCAGGCCCATAAGAAAATATTTTGTTGTAGGAAATTCATCTAATGCACCAGAAATAAAGATCTTTTCATTTCTAGGAAGCCTAGGATGGTCATTGCAGGTATAGAGAAATGCTAACATACTTTCTAACATACTATTATTGAATCAACTTCATGTAGGTCTCACTAATTGATGTGGCTTCTACTAATTTAGAAAGTCCCAATCCATTTTTAACAGATTTCACCTGAATTTTACCCAATAATAAAGTGTTGAGAAGGTGGTGTCAAAGAGTGTGCAGCTGGCATTAACTTAACAGATGGGATAACTTACTCCTCCCCTCTTTCCCTCTCAGACTTCATTGTTTTCATAACCCAGTAGATTTTATTTCTGTTTGCAGCCATTTGGGAACTCCTGACTCAAAACCCAGTATTTTTGTTGGCACATCCCAGAACACTGGGGGGATCTCCTTTCATGTGCTTAGCAAGGAACTACACTTGTGGGATTAACACCATATCTTGATTTGACTCAACCTTTAGGCAATTAGATCTATGGGTGTCATCCCACTTCTATGGTTCTCATGCAGGACAATTCCCAGAAATCCTCAACTATTGTCAAATCAGATTGCCATGCCCACCCATCTTCATATATTGGCAAACTAAATAAAAATAAATGCTTAACTTCCTGGATCAGATGAGCCATACGGTGCATGCATGCTCACAAGTCACTTACTAAAAGCTATTTGGTTCATAATTTCTCACTGCAGGTAGCCAGACAAAACCAATGGAAATCACAAAATCTAATCAGCAGGCATATTTTCTGAATTTAAATTCAATGGCGCAAGGGGGGGAGGGGGAGTGGGAGAGAGAGCAAAAACCTCAACAAGGTGAAGATTTGATGCACGACTCAGGAGAACAAAAGCAAATTCTCCAATTTGAGCAGGTGAGATACCAACCTAAGTTGTCACATGAAAACAGACATTTTCATATGAAAGTCTGTATAGTTAACCATTATATTATCCAAGAAGTTGACCATATTAACTTGCAATAAATGATGTCTTAAGGCTATAACCAAAGGCCTTCGTAACTATAACAGCAACAGCAGTTTTAACAACTACAACCAGAATAACAGATGCCAGCAAGATATCCACATGGTTCCAAAGGAAATGCACATGTATAAGCATTCCAATACTCGAGAGAAAGAGAGCTGCAAACAGGTTACGAGTTGGTTCCACCTACAATATATCAACATATTCTGTTAGGAGCAACTCTTCCTTGAATCTTGTGATAACTGAAGCATAGTGAATAATTCACAAGAGTAAATTATCCTAAACCTGTCATTTGTACATCTTTTCATAGGAAAAAGGAAATAAATAGAAAAAGAAGGGAGGAAGTAAAACTAGGAGGATAATAAGGAATCCTTCAGAACAAGAGTTTATATACAAAGGAGAGAAAAGGAAAATAAAAAAGCAATAATGCTGCCTAATCTGTCTGGATTTGGAAGAGAGTAAGTCCCTTAAAGCAACCATGAACTGAATACAAAAGAGAATGCACCAAGAAACTGTATCCCAGATCAAGTTTGAGAAATGATAAAGACCTCAAATAATTTAATTAAAGCATAACCAGTTTCTATCTTCTAAGTTTGGAAAAGAACCAACATATAGTAACCCAGGCTATTTGAACAAAAGAATGGTAATTAAAAATAACAAATAAAGTTAATAAACTGCATGACAAAGACAGTAATAAGTAAAGTGCACTCCTAATCTAATGATCCAAAGATAAATGTGTGTAAAGGCTCAAGGTATAGAAAACTACTAAGGAAAGTACTTTATTATGATACAACTCAAAAGTCATCAGCCTTGAATGATACCTGGTCCAAAGTATGTTGAGCAAAGTCTGTAGTAGAAATCATAACACCAGCCATAAATGAACCCAGTTCAAGACTAAGGCCAAGCTTATCACTGCACTGGAAAGAGATTTTAAAAAGTTAACAAAATGCACAACATCATTGGTACACATGACTGCAGATAAATAGATTTTTAACCCTACTAGATTGCATATAAGAGTGATGTTACACAAGACTTTGTGTCTAAATCCTTTTTTCTAAGAAGTTAGGATGGATTCTGTTCCCCCCCTCCCCCACTTCCCCTCAAATCCCACACATAAAAATAAGTTATTTTCAAATGATAGAAGTGCCCCAAATAATAACGTGCATATGGAATTGCAGTCTAGCAGACAACCGTCATTAACAAGAATGCGCAACTTTTATGAATAAAAGAAGCCGTATATTGAAAGGAATCACTAACAGCAGTCAGCATTTGTTTTTCTCACCCATGCAGATAACAAGCAGAAAGCAACAGCAGCTAGCTGATAAAGTTCATTTGTCTGGAGAGCAGAAAAAAAAGAAACATTAACTCATGAACTGCTGTTAGTGCTATGAAAATGGTAGCAAAACAAATATGTTTCAGCCTAACCTGAGATGAGAGCCGCATCATCAGTTTAAGAAAGCGAGGAACAAATGACCAGGACAATATAGATGTAGCAGTGAGATACAAAGACAGCACTACAAACCTGAAGTTAAACATAGTTAGATCCAATCCTAATGACAACAACCTAAATTTCAAAGCTCTATATTTCAATAAAACTGCTTTCTTCTGGTCATTCTCTTCATAAAACATCCAACTTGATACATCATATTTCCCAGTGCTCTGTTTTATCGACTTTAGAAAACAAATCTCAATATATCTTGGTAAAATTCAGTATTTTAGGTATAGAGATCATTACATGAATTGTTTCTAAATTGTAATATCTTAGTGCTAGTATACTAAAGTTAATTTGGACAAAAACTTCAGGGAGGTACAGTGTAGGCTTAAATTCAGGTTCAGCACGTATGACAGCAGAAAGTTGTACAAGTATATTACAACATTATGCAATAATTCAATTGGTTTGCATTAACTGAACAAGTTGTTATTGTTCATTAAGGAAAAGGGGGTTTATTATATACTATAGAACCAAAGAAAGAAAGTGCAGATGTACACATACTTACAGTTTTCCCATTGAAATTATTCCTTGCAAAAGGCCACTGTTACCACCCAAAACTGGGAGCAAAGCAAATAGTAAACCAACTGCATAATCCTGATATAACAAGTGGTAGAGGACAGATTGAAATGCAAAAGATAAGCCTAACTTTAGAGCACATTACTTTATGAAAAGCTAGTGGGTTGAGCTTTAACAATTAAAACCCAACAAGAAAGATACCTGAAAAATAAGAGTCCTAATCGTAACTTGAACATGGAGAGCATTACTACTATTCCGCTCCACCAAAAACTTTACCACCTGGTAAAGGTGAAAGTAAATAACAACCCATGCTTAGAATCTATTAAGCACAGCAATAACAACAACAATACATATAGTAAGTTCGGGAAATGTTATAAAAACATACCACTGCTGTTGATGACATTGAGAGAAAGGAACCAACAAAAACACCCTCAGACAATTTGGCTCCAAATAACTGTAAACAAATGGAAAATAACGTTTAGTATCTGTTATAACATAGTCAGATTCCTTAATTTTATTAAAGACTATATCAAGACAAGTCAGCACTATACCATGGAAAGAATGCCACACATGAACATAAAAATGACAATTTGAAGTAGCCCTCCCAGAACAGCAACTGGCCCCACAGTTTTTAACTGCATGCATAAAAATTTCAAAATTAGAAAATGGAAACAGAAAAAAGTTTTAGTAATCTACAGATGCAAATCAAAAACCTTAGACAAGAATAATATATATACCTCCATTCAATCTTAAAATCATATGGTTTGAGATTTAGCAAGAATCAAGCTTATAAGCATTAAATATGTGAAACTATGAAAGAAGGTTTTGCAAGACATGAATAACAAACCTTTGCAAGAGAAAATTCCAGCCCCAAAGCAAAGAGAAGAAACACTACCCCAAATTGTGCAACAGTCTCAACCTGCATATAAGTGGGAAGGAAGTTAAAGTTCCAATGCAAAGTGTCAACATAAGAACAATTAAGCTTAAATCAAGCATTAATGTTACAAAACCCAATGGAAATATTACTCTTTCAATGTTTCTTCCATGGATGGAGCAGATAGCCATGGACTATCAAAAGTTACTCTATATGCTGTATTACTGGTGCATATATCATATTAATTAATATGTTAAGCTGGTAGATCAGTTTACTTCAGTTTTAGGGCAACAATTATTTTCAAAATATTTTTTTTTTTGGGTTAATTTTTGTGATCCCTAGTCAAGGTCTGTACAAAAAAAAATGCCAGCAATTCTTTGTTTTAAAAAAATCAGATTACACAAAAAAAATAAAAATTTATTGGATTACACAATTCAATTTCTTCCAAAGAATGCTTAATACCCTAAGACTATAGATTACCTTTATTTAGGCCTAATCATGCTGGGAATTTATCAAACCATTGAATCTATTTTTAGTTCTGTTGTATTCAACAGCCACCAATCGAGCCCTTGATTATCACTTGAAAAGATAACTATGGGCAGAATAATTTTAATAATTCTCGTTAAATCATTATGGAATTTTTACACTGTATTTATAGGCTAATTCTGTCCAAATTGTAGTAATTACAAGAGGATCATATCAAATAAAAAACTGTACAAATCATAGTCAATCAAATTTGTCTTACTTACAGAAACATATCAAATCTGTCCTAATCACAGAAAGAAAAAAAAACAAATCTGGTCTAATTATGATAATTATAATCTGTCTTAATTATGGTAATCACAACACTCCCCCTCAAGCTGGTAAATGGATATCTATCATTCCCAGCTTGCAAGTTAATTCTCAAAACCAATCAATGGGAATCCCCTTGGTGAATGTATCTGCCAATTGGAGTCCAAAGGGGATATATGATGTGACGACAAGACCATTATCTAACTTCTCCTTAATGAAATGTCTGTCTATCTCTATGTGCTTGGTTCAATCATGTTGGATCGGATTATGAGCTATGCTAATAGCAGATTTATTATCACATAACAGTTTCATAAGGATTTCAAACTTTATTTGAAGGTCATCTAAAATGATCTTTGGCTATAACAATTCACACACCCTTTGAGCCATACCTCTATATTCTACCTCAGCACTTGACCTTGCAACCACATTTTGTTTTTTACTCCTCTAAATTACTAAATTTCCTCCAAGAAACATACAATATCCTGAGGTGGATCTCCTATCCATAATAGACCCTGCATATTCTGCGTTTGTGTATACTTCTACAAACAAATCACACTCTTTCTTAAAAAGGAATCCTCTCCCTGGGATTGCCTTTAAGTATTGAAGGATTCTATTTACTACTTGTAGATGTCTTTCTCGAGGATCATGCATGAATGAATTTTTCCACCAGCCTCTGATATCATGCCTTTTCCACCCTTAGGCTATCTTCATTATTCTCAATCCTGTGGTTTTGTTCTATAGGAATTCTAGCAGTTTTACATCCCAACTTGCCAATTTCCTTAAGAAGGTCGAGGACATACTTCATTTGCAAGATAAAGATACCTTGCTGAGAGTAGGCAACCTCTTTTTTAGATTATGTTTTTCAACTTCGTCATCTCCTACAATTATCATATCATCTACATAGACAAGAAGGAGAGTAAGTTTGCCATCTCGAGAATGTTTTATAAAAAGAGTATGGTCACCTTGACTTTGTTTGTACCCTAAGGATACCATAACCTGTGTGAACCTTCCAAACTAAGCACAAGGAGACTGCTTGAGTCCATATAACGCCTTTTTCGATCGACATACCTTATTTCCTCCGCTAATGCTACTATATCCTGGTAGAATCTGCATATACACTTCCTCCTCCAACTTTCTATGTAAAAAAGAATTTTTAACATCGAGTCGATGCATGTTCCAGCCAAAGTGAGCAGCTAAGGAAATGATTATTCTCACTGTGTTTATCTTGGCTACCAGGGCGAATGTTTTCTTGTAGTCAATCCCATAGGTATGCGTGTACCTTTTTGCGACTAGTCTAGCTTTATATCGATCCAACATACCATGTAAGTGACACTTCACATTGTGTATCTACCTGCAATCCACAATCTTCTTATTCTTTGGCTCTTCAACAATCTCCCACGTATCATTTCTTTCTAATGCATTCATTTCTTCATTCATGGCTTGAATCTAGTTCTCATCCTTTAATGCTTCTTGTATTGAAGTTGGGACTATAACAAAATTAATGGCTGAAATAAAGTTTTGGTGCTTCACAGAAAGGTGTTTAGAAGACACAAACTGGGATATAGGATATTTTGTGCATGTTATTTTTTTCTTTTCTCAAGGCATTGGTAATTCATCAAAATTATTTAAAGGTCTGTGTAGAGAATCAAGAATGTAATTACCTCTAGTTTGGGCAATCTGAGCTACTTTTGGACCAAGTCGGATTTTTTTCTTTGCTGATATGCTGCTGTTTCAGAGTTCTTGCTCTTGTCAAAGGTAGTATCATTCTCAGTAGTCAAGTCCGGATAAGAGGAAAAAAGGATGACTCATTTGAGGACAACTCGGCTTCCAAACGACTCTCTCCCTGAAGCTGAGTACTAGTGTAGAAGGACAAGGTTTCATGAAAGGTGACATCTATAGAGAAACGATGACTTTGTGGGTGGCAACATTTGTATCCCTTCTTGTTAAGAGAATACCCTATGAAGATACATTTGACAGCTCGAGGGTCTAATTTTCCTTGATGAGGACCATGAACATGAACAAAAGCACAACATCCCAAGACTCGACTTTGAAGACTACTCATAATGGGAACATTAGGAAAGAGGGAGTTCATAAGTTGGACAAGATTGACACCATTTAGAATGTGAGAGGGTAACCTGTTTATCAAGTAGGTAGCGGTCAAGATGGCCTCTCCCCAATAGGACTTTGGGACAGACATTTAGAATAGCAATGTTCTAGCAACTTCCAAGAGGTTTCTTTCTGTGACCCCATTTTGTTGTGGAGTATGTACACAAGTGAGCTCATGAAAAATGCCCTTATCTTTGAAAAATGTGGAGAAGCTTTGGTTCACATACTCCTTTCCATTATCTGAACACAATCTTTTAATTCTTCTCCCAAATTGTGTGTAAACCATATTGTAAAAATTCTCAAGTAATTGAAACACCTTTAATTTGTCTCTCATGAGAAATATCTATGTAACCCTTGTACAGTCGTCAATAAAGGAAACAAACCATTTTGCACTGATGATATTAATATTGGGGCTTGGACCCCATACATCAGAATGAATAAGATCAAATGGTTCAGCATTTTTATTATTACTAGGATGAAAAGTTGTGCAATGATGTTTAGTAAGCTGACAAATGTAACAATGTAATGACTCAACAAACACTGTTAAATAAGTGAGGAAACAAAGACTTAATGACACTGAAAGGAGGATGCCCAAGACGCATATGTTGAAGCTAAATTTGGGAATTTTTAGATTCAGAACTTGTATGATGGTTGGAGAAGAACACCTTCTGTTTGGTACTGCCCTTATCTTCCTTATGTTGTAAGTAGTATAACCGGTCTTGTTCCTTAGCAACTTCAATCATCCTCCCTGTAGTAAGATCCTTGAAAGCACAATAGGAGTTGAAAAATGTTACTGCACAATTTAAATCTTGAGTGAGTTTATGAATAGACACAAGATTATTTGAAAGTTTGGAGACATGAAGCACATTATTCAATTGAAGAGATGGTTGAACCTTAACATCATCGCATTCAATAACTAGAGTATGAGTCCCATTAGCTACAGTGATGTGATGTTTACCAAATAGATGGGAGTAGGATGAGAAATAAGAACGGTGAGATGTCATATGATTAGTATCACTAAAATCAATAATCTAGAGATCTTCAGTACTAGAGGAATTAAAGGTTAAGAAGCTGAAATTCTTACGAGTCACAGAGAACAAGTGCCAGATGGCTTGCTTAAGGATTCCATGAGTGTTCGTAATCATTCCAGTTCTTCCTTGCTAAGGGCTAGGATTTCTTCTTTAGTTTGTGACAATAGAGGATCTTCACTAGTAATCTCAGAGTCAAAGGTTGCTTGTTTGGCACGTCTTTGTGAGATACCCTTAAACCTTCCAGCGCGTCCAAGGACCTTATCCTTCCCATAAAGTTTAAAACATGTCTTCTTAGTGTGGCCTGACTTCTTACAATAGGTGTACCAGTGCTCCTCTCGGTGACCTAGTTCTTGAGCAAAGATGGGGTTCTCGGTAGCCATTAACAATTAGAAGAAAGCGAGGGAGGTAAGATGTAAGAACCAGCAGATCACTGGAGTAGAACCAGGAAGGTCCGGCGACTTGTGTGGTGGCAAAGGCGTCAGGAATGGAGGTCGTTAGAGTGGCACATGGGTTAAACGCGCTGGGGACTGTGACAGAGTGTGTGGCTGTTTCTAGTGATGTGGCTTCGGGTTGCGCTCTGGAAAACACACACCCGTTACTAAGGGAGTGCAATGAAGGCAATACTGGGGTAGTCCGCAATGAAAGTGGCTATTATTTTAGTGCGGAAGCAGAGTCCCTAAGATCAGGAGCTCTAATACCAACTTGAAAAGATAACTATGGGCGGAATAATTTGAATAATTCTTGTTTAATCATTATAGCAATTTTACACTGTATTTGTAGGCTAATTCTGTCCTAATTGTAGTAATTACAAGAGGATCATATCCAATAAAAAACTCTACAAATCATAGTCAATCAAATCTATCCTAATTACAGAAACATTTCAAATCTATCCTAAATAAAAAAAAAAAATCTGGTCTAATTATGGTAATTATATAATGTCTTAATTATGGTAATCACAACATTATCAAATTAATTACAGTATTGATTCCAAGTTGCCTGACCAACCATTCAAAACTTAAATATACCCAAATTCCTAACTTTGAAACATCATACTTACAGGGTATTTGTTTCAAGGTATATTTTATATTCACAGGAAAAGTATAAACAAAAATATTATTTGCATAATTCATAGATATGTTTGGTTAGAAATTAATATTCTTGGGAATCATTTTGAAATTTCTAATGATAGTGGAGGGGGAAGGTATGTTACTACCACATTACAAGGTAACTTCCAACATTTCCACCTCTCCCTGTGGGAGAAGAAATTAAGGCTATATTTGGTAAAAGTAACTTAAAACTTATTTAGGAGTTTGTAGCTTATTGACTTGCTTAATAAGTTTGTAAAACTGTTTGGTCAATACAAAATGAAAAAATTTTGTAGCTTTTGATAAATTCAAAAGTTAGCCACTAATTTTTTTATTACATTTTTACCCTTCATATTTTTTTTAAAATGACATTCTTCACACAATTAAAACCCTATTATGTTAATCTTATTAGTATTTTATTCTCTTCATCTTCATAAAAGTCCCTTCCATTTTTCTTTTCTCTATTTTTTTTATCTTTCTATCATTAATAATTAATAGTATATTTTGTTAGATAAAAATAAATTAAGTAGATAAACAATACTTTTAAGATTAAGAAATAAATTATTTAAATCATTTCATGTAATCTTTATTGACATAACATGTTAAAACTAATAATTTTAAAAATAAATTCAAGCTATTGATTGAATTAATAATATCATTTTGATTAATAAGATATGTTAAAATAAGTTATATATAATTTTAATATTATATAAAAATAATATTATATGTCATTTTAAGTCATTTAATATAAATTAGTTAGTTGCATAGCTAGTTTACCAAATAATGTAATTTCATAAGTTACTTGTACATCTATAAACTTTCAGCTACAAGTTCACAACTCTTAGCTAGTTTCACAGCTAAAAACTCTAAGCATGTAGCTTTCAACTTGTTACCAAACATAGCCCAAATAAAATATATGAATGTCACTTTCCGGGGAATCAACCATATCCAAGAATATTGTTTCAAAGCTTGTACCAAACATAGGAATGTCACATTCTCAAGTAACCACTCATAGGAATGATGATCACCATGCTCATATGGAGGAATCTAAATCTCATGATGCTCAAGATTGTAAATCATAAAAATGTGGTCTTTAACCAGTAAACACTACAATAAGCAAGGCCACAAATTTTACAAAGAAGACAGATTAGATTAAGCACTCTAAATTTTTATCACAGCTTGCTTGCTTTGGCCAAAAATGATAGTAAGTCACTCAGAATCAGAACATACCTGCACCATTTCACTAATGAATTACAAACCCCCAGGGCCAATAAGGGAGCCTGCAAGAAGATAGCCCACAATAACCTACAATATGTATTAAAAAAAGATGAAATCCCACACTCTGCATAGATTACTTATCACTGAAGTCAACTCAAATAAATCCCTTAATCTCACTAATATATAATTTAAATATGAAAATCATTTACAGCATAAAGGACATCAAACATGACAATGAGAAATAGTAACAATTACAGACCGGTTGCCCCAAACAGGAAAAGACAATTCCACCAATGGCTGCAGATACTATGACAACGACCAAATCTGATATTAGCCTGCACAAATGTGCAATTATTCAATGGTTGATAAAATCTCATGGTAGAAACTAAATAGTACAAACAGCAGAAACTTAAACAAATTCAAGAACTACAAAATAAAAAGGCATCAATCTCTAATATTTTTGTAAAATTTATAATTTTAATCATGGAAAAAAGGAAATGATACATTTTGGAAAGCAAACTATTCTCTAAAATTTAAAAGCCTTGATATCTAGCCTCTAATTTAAGTACATGAAAAAAGGTTTTAATTTGAAACCATTTGCTAAAACCTCCAAGAGAAAATAAAGAAAGAAATCTAAACCCATTTATTTTTCCAAAATGAAAAGGAGAAAAGAAAAAAACAGGGAATGAGATGATTGGTTTTTCATTTTCACATCTTCTAAAGATATTTGATGACTTCAAAAACTAACACATCATTAAAATAACACATTCCATAATCCAGCAATATCTTGACCAGCAGAAATCACCCAGAAAAATAGCATTTTGTCCAACATTAAAGCAACTTCTTAACACAATCAATATCCTTCAATAAGTCAACAAAGCAGATAAAGCATTCACTGAATAGTAATTACAAGGATAAAGGTGATAACAAATGTTAACCTCAAATCCACTTGAAGCACAGGATATTTGGATTTCTTGTTGGACATTACAAAGACATTGTCCTGGCATGCAATAGTATAAACAGATAAGCAGGTTGAAACATGAATAAAAGTAATTAACATCAGTCAGATCTTTTACACACCTTTTTGTCAATCAAAGTTGTCACATCATCAAAATCTTCATTTTCCAGGGAGAAAACATCTTGAAACTGAAATGATCTTGTGCCACTGAGGAAAATAATCATTCAAAAAGAATAAAAAATTTATTGAGTATACCAATAAAGTTACATTCAATTATCCATTATAGATGCAACTGAGTAATTTTAGCTACATTAAGCAACATATGACCATACTTGCCCTCATGTGTATCATTTCTCCTTGCTTTCTCGTGAGTAATTTTAGCTACAGTCTCCAATACAGCCTGCAAAAGACCAGATGGTCAAAACTCGTCTTTATATTTAAAAAAACTCTGGGAAAATTATTTTTACCAACAGAGTTGTTCAACTAGGAGGAACTGGCAAATGTTAGAATATATCATAATATACTCAGTATATATTTTAAGACTGTCTAATAAGATATTTAAAATATGCCGTGGAATCAATTACTCATCTAATTGAAGAGCAATCTTAGGAATTGTTTCCTATTTTCATTATATTTCACTATTTATTTCCTTATTTTAATTAGGGTTAGTAGTCTTATTGTATATTTTATATTAGTGCATTGGGCTTAAACTAGTAATACTACACTTGTTTTGGACCTAATTATTACTGTAAAATGGACCATTTGGTTAGATTTTAAATAATGTCATTATATGCTGTATCAATATAATCTTACTATTCTTGGTACCGCTTTTCTCTCTCTTCCTCCTTCCTTACCAAAACAATACAATTTCAACAGCAAAGCCAAGTAGTAGTTATTAGCACGACATGAAAATGTGTGAGGGATACATGAAGACAAAAAACAGCTCAAACATCAACATCAGAGTTTTGCATTCATGTAATATACTAGAGGAAGAGAAAATAAAATGAAAAGCTCATAATAGTAATAAAGCAATAAGCAATTACACTTTCATACATGTGATGAAGACTTTTAAACTGATACATCAAGATTTGAAGGGAAAAACTACAAGATCCCAGATATAGACTCAACTTGCTTTTCATGTAATATTTGAAATTGAAGGTAAATAGTCCAGCATCATTTTTTACAAAACAAAACATCAGCTTGTTTTCAAATGACATAATCCACTTCAACACTACCGTTGAAAACCATAATATCAGGTCCACCTGTTGATCAGCTACACTGCTATTGAAGCTGCTTTTATCAGATCCTGTTAAGGATAAAAAAAATAATGAGAATAACAGACAATCCACTTAAAACAAATCAATGAGCTTCACAATTCACATGTTGGTTTGTGACAACTAAATCTAGTGTGTCATCTCACAATTAAATTCTGAAAAAAAAAAAAATACAAGTAACAATTGAAAGGACAATAGAGTAACATTTAGACTATGATACTCACAGATCATCCATGACCACATTCATATTCAAAACACAGAATATTAAATTGTACCAGTGCAGCAACGAGTATAAAAAACTGAAAGCTTATTAGGATAAAATAAATGCCAGATCATATCCACTCCATACCACCGTTAATATCATGATAAAAACATTTTAAAATACTTGAAGTGTCTTCATTTCAAAGAAAGAAAAAAGAAGCTATAGCTTCATGAGTCCATGACCTCAATCAATATGACTAAATATGAGGCAGTAAAGGGGTGAATGTAAGTTTTTGTGCATCTCTCAACAAGTGTAGCTCGTTGGCTCATCCCTCCTACCATTATTTACTGCTAATTTCACAAACTTAGAACAACACTATTCTGCTTCAAATCTTGCCATAGATCCAGCATATCTAGATGCTATTATACTAAATACACAACTAAGAGAATTTTAACACCCAATAGCTTCACTATCACTGAGCAATGACGAACGATTAATCTACCCACCCACCAATCTCCACTGTACATCCTCACTCACCTCTCTCATTACACAATCCAAGTCCAGAACTCCTTCAACCTCTTTTTTTCCAACTCACTAACAAGTTACCAATAACTATATCGTTCTCACGTGCCCCACATTAACAGAGGAGCTACGGATTCCTGAATCTGAGCATCTTCAGGAACATAGGTGTACTCTATCAGGTTTTCTATTTTATCAGAAGCAGTTCTGATACAGTCTTTTGGTAATGAGATAGGGGAGTTTAGAAGAATAGGAGAAATTTCAGTGGAAGAAGTGTTTGTGGTTGTATTAATGATTTTGTAGAGACTCTTACTCACTTTATTTATAATGACTATCACACTTATCCTCTCCTTCAACAGAGACTTTAGACTCTGAATAAATACAGGAGTTCGTGACATTGTTACAGACAGAGGCGACTGTAGATACAGTCTCTCAGGTAGGTGTCTGTCAGCTGTCCAGCCGATAAACCCTGAGGATATGAACTTCAAATAATTTGAAGGCTCTGATACCATTAGCTAATCCCTATGCATGATTATTCATGGAGATCTTCATTCAAATAATCCTCATATGTTACGGAACAATGTTTATAAGATGAATCTTTAAACCACAAAGTTACAGTGTGGATTCTACTCTAAAATTTTGTCAATCAGTTCATCCGTAGCAACTTTATAGCAGCAAATATAGGCAAACCAGCTTATGATGTGATAGTAATAGCGTAAGCAACAACTGGCGTGTAATTTCCTATATACATTGCTCAAAGAATACAAAAATCATATGCCTATCTACACAAGATCTTCCATTAACTTTCAATGGAAGTGAATATGCCGAATGTTTCACGTGAAGCTCATCACGGAACTTACATCAGAAACACAGTAAAGAAATCATGATTTCACTGGCCACCAAAAAGTAGATAATTGCCTCCAATATACTATTTGATTTGATGTCTTGAAAACTTGAAGTCTCACGACATTCTGTTTGCTTCATTAAGTGAAGCTTTCTCCTGTGAAGAGCAAAAGACAGGTAATGTTGTTATACTATCTATGACTTTTGGTAGAGGCAAAGCATCCTTGGTTTTCAATGTAGCATATAAAAGAGAGATAAAGAGACCTCATCTTGTGTGTTACTTTCAGAGGGGAACCAGTGCATGAGACCACGACATTCATGACAGTTATCAACTGAAACAAAAGTGGGGTTGAAACCCATAGCAAATTCTCCAATTTGAGCAAGTGAGATACCAACCTAAGTTGTCACATGAAAACAGACATTCAGTGTTTATAGGGAAGTCTGTATAGTTAACCCTTATATCATCCGATAAGTTGAGTGTGTTATCTTACTTACAATAAATGATGTCCGAAGGCTATAACCAAAGCCTTCGTAACTATAACAGCAACAGCAGTTTTAACAACTACAACCAGAATAACAGAAGCCAGCAAGATATCCACCTGGTTCCACCTACAATTAATAAACATACTGTTAGGAGTAACTCTTCCTTGAATCTTGTGATAACTGAAGCATAGTGAATAATTCACAAGCAGTTAATTATTCTAAACACATCATTTGTACATCTCTTCATAGGAAAAAGAAAATAAATAGAAAGCAGAGAGAGGAAGTAAATTGATGTACCCCATTGCCAGTATATCTTACTATGCTGTTGCAAAAGCAAATCTTATAATGAGAATAATCTATTCTTTAAAGGTGCACACATTTGATGTTTCCCTTAGCTATTAAGTTCATGTTGGCATCTTGTGAAAAGAGTCAGTGCACCCTGCTCTTGAAAGCTTCCAACTAAACCCATCAAACAAAATACAAGAATCACAAGAACTGTTGATCATCATAACCATCTACATCATCTGAACATTGCAGACATTGTTTGATTTACGAAAATTATCAAACAACTTAATTCCCTCATTTAATTGTTGCAGTAGTACATATATCTCCTCACATTGGGGGTGGGAGTGATCTTCAGCATTGAAAGCATGCACTTTATTTTTCACTTCTATCCAACTCCAACCAGGAACCTTTTTCACTCCTCTTTCTCGCATAAGCCTTGTTACACTAGCCTTCTCATTCCACATCTTGAGACACCCATACATGTCAGAGAGTATAACGTAAGTGCAGTGCTCTTCAGGCTCCAGGTCTAGCAAAGCTTTTGCTACTTGACTAGCTAATTCAATATCACCACAAAATCTACAGGCACCTAGTAAAGTCTTCAACACCATTGCATCAGGTTCAAAAGGCATATTTTCAACCAAAGCTTTTGCCTTCTCAAGATGCCCTGACCTACCATAGAGATCAATTGCACAAGCATAGTGCTCCATTCGTGGTGGAACACCAAAATCAGATTCCATAGACTCTATAAAGTTGCAGCCTTCTTCTACTAGCCCACTATGACTACATGCAGTTAGAACTGCAACAAAGGTTATATGATCAGGTTTCACCTTTCTATCTCTCATTAAGTAAAAGAGGTCAAGTGCAACGTTTCCTTGTCCATGTTGTGCGTACCCAAAGATGATCGAATTCCAAATGATTGCATTGTCTTTGGAAGAATCTTCAAAAGATTTGCTAGCATCTTCTATGATCCCACATTTAGAATACATGAAGATTAAAGAACTCCCAACATATTCATTGGTATCAAAGCCTACTTTAAGTGCTAAGACATGAACCTGTTGACCTAACTGTAGTGTTGCTAAATCCGAACACGATCTTATGACAGCTGAAAAAGTATAGTGGTCAATTTCCATGAGCAGTGATCTCATCTGCAAAAAAAACCTCAAGGCATCTTCACTCAAACCAACTTGTACAAACCCTGCCAGAATCGAGTTCCAAGTGCAGCAATCTTTGAGATCCATGGAAAAGAAGATTCTCAACGCATCTTCCATGTACCTATCATTAAATCTGATATACATAGCAATCAAAGCATTAGAAACAGGCACAGAATCTTCAAGCCCTCTTTTTATCATCAAACCATGCAAAGATTTTCCATAGCCTTTATGCCCATGCACAAAACAAACACTGACAATGCCAGTGTAAGTATAAGCATCAGGTTCAAACCCAAAATTCTGCATATCGACAAAAATTTTAAACGCAAGATCTTCTTTCTTGTGCATCAAATAAGCACCAAGCATAGAATTCCACGTAACCAAATCATGACACGCAACAGCACCATCAAACACTCTCTCAGCATCGTGCAAAGAACAGCACTCAGAATATGCCGTGATGGCAGCATTGCAGACAGTGTTAAACAATTCAAGCCCATGTTTCACAATTTTACAATGCAACTGCATTGTCAACCCATAAAACTCAGGATCATCAAGCAATGTCAAAAGTGGAGACATAGTGCCATCATCAATCTCCACACCCTCAACCTCCATACACTTTAGCACCCAAAATGCCATGTCACGATTGCCAACTCGTGAATAGCCGGAAACTAGTGTGTTCCACGACACATAATTGCGTTCCGGCATGTACCTGAACACAACAAAGGCATCATCAACTCTCCCACACTTGGCATACATGTCCAAGAGAGCACTACCAGAAAACACGTTTTCTAATAGTCCCATCTTGAGCATAACGGAATGTAGTTGTTGCCCGAGCTCGAGCTCACAAGAACGGGCAGCACCCTTAAGAATGCTTCCGAATGTGTGGCTGTCAAGGGCAAGTGCAAGCCTTCTCATGGCACTGAGGAGCTGCCACGCAGTGTCCAGGTCACCAGAGTTAGCATAAGCAGAAATGATGGAGTTCCAAGAGACAGTGTCTCTGTGGGGCATTTCGTCGAAGAGTTTGTGGGCGAGAGGTAATTTTGTGCATCTAGCATAAGAAGTTATGAGGTTGTTGGCAGTGTAAAGGTCTGTGATGGATCCTAATTTGATTGCTTGGCAATGGGTTGCTTCGAGGGCCAGCAAAGTGAGGAAGTGCAACCTCTTCATTCTTGACGAGCAATCTCTGCCTGGCACATTAAAAAATTGAGGACATTGAATAGGTGAGCATCTTATGTTGAATGTGGTAACACCAATCACCGCAATAACATCCAAAAAGCAGATTCAAAGGCCAAAGCATTTTCAACTTAAGATCTAAACAAAAATATTATTACATAAATTCATAGATATGTTTGGTTAGAAATTAATATTCTTGGTAATCATTTTGAAATTTCTAATGATAGTGGAGGGGGAAGGGATGTTACTACCACATTACAAGGTAACTTCCAACATTTCCACCTCTCACTATGGGAATAGTAATTAAGGCTATATTTGGTAAAAGTAACTTAAAACTTAGGAGTTTGTAGCTTATTGACTTGCTTAATAAGTTTGTAAAATTGTTTGGTCAATACAAAATGAAAAAAGTTTGTAGCTTTTGATAAATTCAAAAGTTAGCTACTAATATTTTTATTACATTTTTACCCTTTATTATTTTTTTAAAATGACTTATTCTTCACACAATTAAAATCCTATTATGTTAATCTTATTAGTATTTTATTCTCTTCATCTTCATAAAAGTCCCTTCCATTTTTCTTTTCTGTATTTTTTTTATCTTTTTATCATTAATAATTAATATTATATTTTGTTAGATAAAAATAAATTAAGTAGATAAATAATACTTTTAAAATTAAGAAATAAATTATTTAAATCGTTTCATGTAATTTTTATTGACATAACATGTTAAAACTAATAATTTTAAAAATAAATTCAAGTTATTGATTGAACTAATAATATCATTTTGATTAATGAGATGTGTTAAAATAAGATATTTAAAATATACCATGGAATCAATTACTCATCTAAATGAGGAGCAATCTTAGGAATTGTTTCTTATTTTCATTATATTTCACTATTTATTTACTTATTTTAACTAGGGTTAGTAGTCTTATTGTATATTTTATATTAGTGCATTGGGCTTAAACTAGTAATACTACACTTGTTTTGGACGTAATTATTACTGTAAAATGGACCATTCGGTTAGATTTTAAATAATGTCATTATATGCTGTATCAATATAATCTTACTATTCTTGGTACCGTTTTTCTCTCTCTTCCTCCTTCCTTACCAAAACAATACAATTTCAACAGCAACGCCAAGTAGTAGTTATTAGGACAACATGAAAATGTGTGAGGGATACATGAAGACAAAAAACTGTGAAAACTAGAAAACTAATTACATGTAAAAGAAAGAAGGTTTCGAGAAAAAAAGAATAAAATGGTTGTGCAATAGTGAAAAAAAAGCTGAAGTTATAACAGGAAAAGTAGAGAATAAAAATAAATATGGAGAAGGAAACTTGAAATTGAAAACAGAAAAATAGAATCAAGAAAACGAAAAACAGAATTGGAGAGGGAAAAACAGAATTGAAAAAAAAAAATAGGAGAGGGAAAAACTAAGAAAGAGTGACAGAGTCTAGAGAAGCAAAATGGAAAATGGATGTCGAAAAATAAGACCTTCCACTCACAGTTGCCGGAAAACAGCCGAAAAGGAGGTCTTCTCCGGCGAAAATGGTGAAGGAGATGAAGGAGAAGTTGACCTTAGAGAAGGAGGACAGAGAAGAAAGAACCTTTAAAAATTTTAAATAAAAAAAGTCTATTTTGCCCTTAAAAAAACCCTAAAATACATATAGCAATGGCAAGATATGACTTTGGCTCTCTTTCCCTGTTACACTTCTAAAGTGCACATCCACACTATATACGTGGAGCATAATCTATATTTCGTGTATTTTAGATTTTTAGAATAGCTTACTCGGTGCTTGCTGTTTGTTTCCTGTTCCTGGGATTTGGGAGTATGTAAAACTTCGTCTCCTTTATTTTGCGGTATTTCTTGAATCTCAAAGTTGCAAAGGAGCCAATACCACCGCAAACCATCGTTGGAGCTTATCGCTGCAGAAATTCTTGTGCCCTTGCTTGCTGTATTCCAACTATTTTTCTGAAAAGGTATTGCGTTTTTCTTCTTTGCTTGCGTTGCTTACCTGAAGCTTCATGTCGTGACTGTCATTATTTGTTGAGATTCTAATTTTTAGATTTAGTTAAAATTGGTATGTATATATATACTCACACACTGATCTTCCCATACTACCCTTACTAAAACCCTAACACTAACACCGTCTGACGCTCATTGGGTACCAAAGCAACCACTATGTTCTCTTGTGTCTTTCCGTGTGCGGGTGAGTGAGGCCAACTTTTTTTAAAATCTTCTCTGTATTTAATTTCCACGCTCTGCTCTATTGCCGGTAATAATAATATTAAAATGTCAACAATCAAGTTAAGCTTCACCCATTTTCATACTGTTATATCTTGGAATGGAATGTATTATGGGTCTATTTTTTATTTTTATTTTTAAAATTTGAATCCATCCAATTCAATTTTTGTCTTAGGCTGAACAAAGTGTTGCAATTTTTCTCCAATTTAAAACTAAATACTGTTAAGTTTCTGGCTATTTCAGGTTTAACTACTTTATACTATAATCACTAAATTAAATTAGGTAGTTTTGGAATTTGGATAAATTTATCAAATGCTTGAATTATCTCAGACACGAGTTCAAGAAACTGAATAGCTGAAGGACAAAATCATTGCTGATGAATGCCAATGATAGTAGTAATAGTGTTTCTGCTAGATATTTTAAGATTGCTTCTTTGTTAGAACCTTGTTCTTTTTTTATGTGAAAATTGCAGCGGAGAAAAGAAAAGAAAAAGCAATTACCTCTATAATTTTCAAGTCGTATACTTGACTTGAGTGCAAATAAGGCCTCCAAGACCTGATTATGATAATACATATATATTATCGAAATGAAAGCTTGTGATAAATGGTCATAGCCAAATGCATGATAATTGAGGTGTACGGGTACCATTACAACTTGTCGTAGGAGATAATATATTATGTTGTTTATGTCTGACATATACTCACTGTTTAGCTTAATAATAGGATTATTTTGAATGTGGTGTGGTCTTAGGTTGGAATTTTAGTACAAGAAGATGTCTCTGCGAATAAAGGCAGTGGTAGATAAGTTTGTTGAAGAGTTGAAGGAAGCGTTAGATGCTGATATTCAGGATAGGATCATGAAAGACAGAGAAATGCAAAGTTACATTGAAGAGCGTGAACGTGAAGTTGCTGAGCGTGAAGCAGCTTGGAAGGCTGACCTTTCCCGCCGTGAGGTAGCTACTTAATACTCATTTCTTCCAAATTATTATACTTTTGTAGTTTTTCTTAATTTAATGCGCACTTTGCATTTCCTTCCCAAATAGATGGGCAGGGGAAGATAATGAAAAAAAATGTGAAAACCCTGTTCTCATCTACATTGCAACATATTTTTGTCACTAACGGTTGAATATTTGAACTTTTTGAGCTAATAATATAGCTGTAGAGCCCTCCACATATCGACTGTGTTTTCTATAATTTACATTTACATGAATTTCTTTTTCAAAATTGTTGGTCATGAACTGTAATTAATTTATGAATTGAAAATGGAAACTATGAGAACACTGTTTTTCCTATTTCATTTCTTAGGTGATAATCTGACAACATTCCTTGTATCTTCTGAGCATGGAAATGGTGTACATGGATTATGGCTTAAATTAGTAGGTCTGAATTCATCTCAAAAAATTCAAAATGTTACTCTTTCTATTTTTTTAATATATATATATGTGTGTGTGTGTGTTTGTAAATTATTGAACTTTGATAAAACTGGTTCAGAGCAAGAGCGAGAAAACAGAAAAAGGAATAGTGTTTTATTAAGGAAAAGCCTTCACACTTCACAGTATAAGGTTCAAAGCAAACCCAGGACTGTTAGGCTAAACACACCAATACTATACACTGCACAAGACTATGAGAGCATTAATCTCCCAAAACAGATTACTACTCCCTAACCAGATCCCCTTTTTCACTCTCTTCCCAACTTTAACTGGCCTGGGTGCACTAATCTAATCCTTTGGGCCATGTTTATTTCTTCTTACATATACTTTCTTAACTGTTGATCTAGAGCCAACAAACTTCTGTTTACTTTGCGATGGTCCATACATTTTTGAATTTGTTACCTTAATTAACAGCATAATTTTTGAAACATGCCCTGCTCTCTTTTTGATACTTTAGAGTGTTTATACGAATATGTATTTTGTACCCTTCCTAAATTTTCTAATTCTGTGATTGTCTGTGACACTGATCTTGATTCAAGATTCTGTGGTAGCAATGCCAATTTCTCTTGTCTTTTGATTAGAATCCTATGTTCTGATGTATGACCTACATTTGGTCTCAACGTAGTTTGTTGTTTTTATTCAAGTTCTGAATTGCATGCTTATTACATTACATTGGTGATTATCTTATTTTACACTGCTCGCACTGAATGACTTTGAAATGACTGTATCCTAGATGAATGCTGCTTTTCTTGTTTAGGTGAATAATGGACAAAGTGAAATGCAGTGGATTAATTTGAGGTTTTTGGTGCTAGATGTATTGATATTGGCTCAATTTTAGTGAATTGCTTCTGAAATTGAAAGAAGACAGCCAACTGGCTTTTAGGCACAGGGGATTAGGCATTACACGGAGAAATGATTAACAATAGCAATCTGAGGTTGATAAATTTGAATTTGATGGGGCCAGATATATTGATATGGGTGCAATTTTAGTGACTTGAAATTGAAGAAAGAAAGCAAAGTGACCTTTAGGCACTAGGCATTTTACCGAGAAATGGTTCTCTAACTATCATGATCTGAATAAATGATGCTTCATTGCCCCCAAATTTGTCTAGGGTGTTTGGTACATGATAAACCCCGGCAATGGCTTCACATATGATTGCCGAATGAATCTAGATACAAACAAAATGCCCTGAAATTTGAAGCTAAGGATAACAAGTGTAACTAAAACAGTTGTTTCATGGTTGCAAGAAACAGAATACATAATTATAAAAAATGAAAATCATAGTTAAACAGTGACTTAATCAGCCTTTGGAATCTGATTTATGCCCTGAATATTAGATCTTAAGTTGAAAATGCTTTGCCCTTTGAATCTGCATTTTGGATATTATTGCTGTGATTGGTTTTAGTTACTACATTCAACATAAGATGCTCACCTATTAAATGCCCTCAATTTTTTAATGTTCCAGGCAGAGATTGCTCGTCAAGAAGCAAGGTTGAAGATGGAAAGAGACAATCTTGAGAAAGAGAAAAGTGTCTTAATGGGAACAGCATCAAATCAAGATAACCAAGATGGAGCTCTTGAAATTACAGTAAGTGGTGAAAAATACCGTTGCCTCAGATTTGCCAAGGCTAAAAAATAAAGGTTTTGCTGGGCTGACAAAAAGGAAAAAGTACAGTCTTCAATTCTCTCCTTCCCCAAGGCCAAAAGGAAAGTGCTGCTGAGGACTCATGCTATTCCAAGCTCAATTTATGTCCTCTAGTAACAACTACTGAAATTTTACTGTGTAGTCGTGGTTTATCATTCTTGTCAGATTTAAGTAGCATTACTCGCTCAATTAAATTTTTTATATAATTTTTTTCTGTAATAATGTTGATGCTTTGGGCAGCTAAAATCATTTTTTCTGGTAAATTATTTGACATTCGCTAAATGTAGTTACCATTTTTACTGTTATGATGAACAATCTTGTAAGGAAAACAAACAAAGAAAGTGCAGGTTTAATTAGATGCATGGAAGTTTACGAATTTTGTAAAATCAAATCAAATTATGGATCGAAACAAACTGAACCATGATTCACACTATTTCGTGTGTTAGTTTGGGCAATGCACTATAATCGTTCAACGCAACATATGTGCAGCCGTTGTCTCTATTCATAAGTTTAACTAAATAATTGAAAGACAAAAAAATAGAACGGTCAGAATCAAGCCTAAACCAAGGTCTGTTAAAAGATCATATTTACAGGGTTTTTTTTTTTTGGCATAATCATTATTTTCTTTTTATTTGCACAACTATATTTAAAATTTGAAATATTGATCCTAATTTATCAACGAAATTCAACAAAATCGTGATTGAAAACTGCCCTTAAAGTGATGCATGTATATACTCAACTTGTTTTTAACAAATTAACAAATTAGTATTTGATTATTTAGCAAGAATTAATAATTTATTTTCTTCTCTCTTCCCGTACATGCATATATAAATATATATTGCCAACTTTTTACATTTATATTAGTAACTTTTTATAACATACAAGATTGTTCGATTCAACCATTAGTTTAAGAGTTTCTATCAAATAGATTAATTTTATAAAATAAATTAATAAATACTCAATTATATCATTTTATTTTATTAGATATTGCATTTTAAAAATATAAGTAAATATCAAATTTTTAATGGTTGGATTACAATCTTACATGTTATGAAAAGTTATAAGGATCTATGATTGAGACTTATGTGTATATATGAACTTATTTTTATCCTTCTACATTTTAGTTTTAAAATATTGTTACTATTTACTTTCCATATTGAATATTATTTTGAGAGTTATTTTTTATACAAAAAATGTTCTCATTCAAATATTTTGTTAAGATTGAATCTTAATAGGACTTAATTTTTTACTTCTTTAAAAATATTAAACAAAATATTATCATTTTTTTAACTAAAAATTATTTAAACCTAAATAAATTTATGTGTCAGATAATACTTTAATAACTAACTGTTGTATTCAGTTCTGTTCTCAAAATGATATTGATCATCAACTGCAAATCAGTCCTTTTCCCAGTTAATTTGGAACTTCAATACAATTAGCTAATCACCATGCATGATTATTCGAGATCTTAATTCAAATGATCCTTATATGTTACGGAACAATGTTGATAAGATGAATCTTTAAACAAAAAAGTTACACCGTGAATTCTATCTACTCTAAAATTTTGTGAATCATTACATCTAGAGCACCTTCATAGCAACAAATATAGGCAAACCAGCGTATGATGTGATAGGATCAACGTAAGCAACAATACTGGCTTGTAATTTCCTATATACATTGCTCAAAGAATACAAAAATCATATGCCTATATACACAAGATCTTCCATTAACTTTCAATGGAAGTGAATATGCTGAATGCTTCATGTGAAGCTCATCATGCAACTTGCATCAGAAACACAGTAAAGAAATCATGAATTCACTAGCCACCAAAAAGTAGATAATTGCCTCCAATATACTATTTGATTTGATGTCATGGAAACTTGAGGACTCACAACATTCTGTTTGCTTCATTAAGTGAAGCTTTCCCCTGTAAAGAGCAAAAGACAGGTAATGTTATACTATTATGATTTTTGGCAGAGGCAAAGCATCCTTGGTTTTCCAATGTAGCTGTAGAAATGGCGAAGCTCTTGAGTGGTCCAAGACTACTATGTGTCCATGATCTCAACCAGTCTGACCACGTGTCACATGATATATGGCCAGGACTATGGATGCATAGTAGTACTAAACTACCCAATAATATTCGTTGTTTATAAGATGATTCTTGAAATGGGATGCATCTACCTAAGAGCCAAGAGACAAAAATCTAGCTGGAGTATGCCAGCAGTTAGGGTGAGGAATGTCTGTCTTGAAAGTAATAGCATAAGTGGCCTTCACAAAAAATATAAATATTTCTCACTATTATTTATATACAAAGAAGCAACGGCACAAAAAGTGAACGGTGGAGGATATTTTTAGCCTTTTAAGCTGGTGATGTGATTTTTTATAGACAAAATGTCACATTAAACATGTAATGTTGACCCCAAAAAGTCTTCATTTGATTTTCAATCATAACCCCTAAAAATAAAAGTGCAGCCTACGTTGAATGGCAAAGTGTGATTTGATGTGAATACAAAAATTGAACCACATTTCTGACACACTCAAAATAAGGTTTCAAAAGAACGCTAGTTATTTATGAGTGCATGCGGTTATATGATCATTTTGAGAATATAAAAGAGAGATAAAGAGACCTCATTTTGTGTGTTACTTTCAGAGGGGAACCAATGCATGAGAACACCCAGATTCATGACAGCAGGGATCAACTTAAACAACAGTGGGGTTGTAACCTGTAAATAATCGATGGTAAGGTTAAATAATTCAAAGGAAGGAACGAAAGGGGCAACTAGTTGTAAATGAGATTACCAGACTGAGAGCTGTTGTCCCTAGAAGAAGGAGATACATTTTCCCCTAAAATATTGTAATCAGTGGTCAGCAAGTGAGAGTAAGAGAGAATAGGAAATAAATAAATAAATTACAAAAAATCACCAAGAAAACGTATCAACAAGAATATGTAAATGCTTTCTTCAATGACATTGAATATTGTGTGTTTATGATCATAGAAGAATAGAAAAGGAAGGGACTTTTAAGAGCCACCAGATCACCTATACTTAAGCTTGTGAGTAACTTTCACTTGTATCTTCAGGCCCATAAGTAAATATTTTGTTGTAGGAAATTCATCTAATGCACCAGAAATAAAGATCTTTTCATTTCTAGGAAGCCTAGGATGGTCATTGCAGGTATAGAGAAATGCTAACATACTTTCTAACATACTATTATTGAATCAACTTCATGTAGGTCTCACTAATTGATGTGGCTTCTACTAATTTAGAAAGTCCCAATCCATTTTTAACAGATTTCACCTGAACTTTACCCAATAATAAAGTGTTGAGAAGGTGGTGTCAAAGAGTGTATAGCTGGCATTAACTTAACAGATGGGATAACTTACTCCTCCCCTCTTTCCCTCTCAGACTTCATTGTTTTCATAACCCAGTAGATTTTATTTCTGTTTGCAGCCATTTGGGAACTCCTGACTCAAAACCCAGTATTTTTGTTAGCACATCCCAGAACACTGGGGGGATCTCCTTTCATGTGCTTAGCAAGGAACTACACTTGTGGGATTAACACCATATCTTGATTTGACTCAACCTTTAGGCAATTAGATCTATCGGTGTCATCCCACTTCTATGGTTCTCATGCAGGACAATTCCCAGAAATCCTCAACTATTGTCAAATCAGATTGCCATGCCCACCCATCTTCATATATTTGCAAACTAAATAAAAATAAATGCTTAACTTCCTGGATCAGATGAGCCATACGGTGCATGCATGCTCACAAGTCACTTACTAAAAGCTATTTGGTTCATAATTTCTCACCGCAGGTAGCCAGACAAAACCAATGGAAATCACAAAATCTAATCAGCAGGCATATTTTCTGAATTTAAATTCAATGGCGCAAGGGGGGAGGGGGAGAGGGAGAGAGAGCAAAAACCTCAACAAGGTGAAGATTTGATGCACGACTCAGGAGAACAAAAGCAAATTCTCCAATTTGAGCAAGTGAGATACCAACCTAAGTTGTCACATGAAAACAGACATTTTCATATCAAAGAGTGTATAGTTAACCATTATATTATCCAAGAAGTTGACCATATTAACTTACAATAAATGATGTCTTAAGGCTATAACCAAAGGCCTTCGTAACTAAAACAGCAACAGCAGTTTTAACAACTACAACCAGAATAACAGATGCCAGCAAGATATCCACATGGTTCCAAAGGAAATGCACATGTATAAGCATTCCAATACTCGAGAGAAAGAGAGCTGCAAATAGGTTACGAATTGGTTCCACCTACAATATATCAACATATTCTGTTAGGAGCAACTCTTCCTTGAATCTTGTGATAACTGAAGCATAGTGAATAATTCACAAGAGTAAATTATCCTAAACCTGTCATTTGTACATCTTTTCATAGGAAAAAGGAAATAAATAGAAAAAGAAGGGAGGAAGTAAAACTAGGAGGATAATAAGGAATCCTTCAGAACAAGAGTTTATATACAAAGGAGAGAAAAGGAAAATAAAAAAGCAATAATGCTGCCTAATCTGTCTGGATTTGGAAGAGAGTAAGTCCCTTAAAGCAACCATGAACTGAATACAAAAGAGAATGCACCAAGAAACTGTATCCCAGATCAAGTTTGAGAAATGATAAAGACCTCAAATAATTTAATTAAAGCATAACCAGTTTCTATCTTCTAAGTTTGGAAAAGAACCAACATATAGTAACCCAGGCTATTTGAACAAAAGAATGGTAATTAAAAATAACAAATAAAGTTAATAAACTGCATGACAAAGACAGTAATAAGTAAAGTGCACTCCTAATCTAATGATCCAAAGATAAATGTGTGTAAAGGCTTAAGGTATAGAAAACTACTAAGGAAAGTACTTTATTATGATACAACTCAAAAGTCACCAGCCTTGAATGATACCTGGTCCAAAGTATGTTGAGCAAAGTCTGTAGTAGAAATCATAACACCAGCCATAAATGAACCCAGTTCAAGACTAAGGCCAAGCTTATCACTGCACTGGAAAGAGATTTTAAAAAGTTAACAAAATGCACAACATCATTGGTACACATGACTGCAGATAAATAGATTTTTAACCCTACTAGATTGCATATAAGAGTGATGTTACACAAGA